TCTCTCTCTCTCTCTCTCTCTCTCTCTCTCTCTCTCTCTCTCTCTCTCTCTCTCTCTCTCTTTGTCTCTCACACACACACACACACGCACACACACACACACTCACAAATGGCAAGGCCGCGGGCGAATGAATACATGAATACGGGTGCGCGGTTCTGACCATGCTTCATCTGTAAGATCCCACGAAATGGGTAGTTGGCTTGTAAAGTCCTGTGCTCGCCTGACAAGGTTTATGGGGGTGTGCCGATGAATTATTTCGGAGCTTCATGGCAGTATGGTTTCCGTATTTGCTTCGACATGTTTATCATGGAGTACTTTAAACACACACACGAGAGGTGTAACCCCCGTCAGCGTTGTTGGTGGTGTGCCCCACCAACCATACCCCAATAAGGAACCAGGCAGAGAAATGCACAGGCGTTCGCCAGGAGAAACCCGAGGAATTCAAGGAAATGTACGATCGCATGGGGCAACCTAGTTCGCGTGATGTGCCTTACAACAACGAAAAAGTTGAAGCAGGTTGCCAAATCGCCAACCCTTCTTGTTTCAGTGTGAGTCTCTCTCTTTTTTGTGCTTTTGTCTGTGCCCTCGTGATTGTTATGATTGCATTGCAGGTTCCACCGAAGGAGTTCTTCCCCAGAGGTTGGTGGGACGAACTCACTTGCAAGTACGATTGGCGAAAGGAACAGTCATGGCCCAGCAAACTGGCGCAAGCACTCATCGCCACGTTGAAGCCCGAGATCCTGGATGCGATGAAGAGGCTGGTTGGAACAGGGAACTTTCCGAATTTTTTTTGCATGATCGGATTTAGCGACATAGCCAATCTTGTACGGGTGTGGGATCAGGGGAAGGATGCCTTTGTCGCCGTACTCCTAGACACTGCCGATGGGTTAGAAAGAAAGAAGATAGATTACGAAAGAGAGTGCGTGGAACTACCTGCTAGGACCGCGAAGGTTGAGCAAACGTTCCTTATGATCTGGGGACTCAATCACTCACACCTGCAAGGGCAGGCAGCCGAAACTCCGACGGTCGGATGCACCATCACCAGTGCTCTCGCCCTGGACGATGCGGAGATGGCAGAAATGAACGCTGCCATCACCGCAGGAACTGCCTCTGCCAGCCACAGCCCAGAGAAAGCCTCCTCCTCGCAAGGATGGCAGTACACTGCTTTCGCACCACTACCCTCCTTGCATTGGGTCGAGCACACTGGTTTCAGATTCAGGCAGGCACTCTAGAAACTCGACATTTTCAATCACCTTTCACCTTTTTCCATGAAAGCCCTTATTTTCCTCGCCAACCTGACCGAGGAAGAGGTTGCCACGTGTCAAGCTAATGCGATGACCGGTGCATTCCCTTATTGCCCCCCAGGGAAGAAGGCTTTTAACCCAACCCTCCTAGCATTTCCCTTGCTGTCAGCACTAGATCACACGAAATGTGAGTATACCAGTCCAGTGATGTGGCAGAAGAAGGTTAAGACGGCCCCTGAGATCGATCTTAAGGGGTTGAGGAAGAGCTAGAACGTCGGAAGGCCGTATCTCAGATGCAGGTGCGCCACTGAGAGGAAAAAGGACTGTGGGGCAGGGCCGATCTGGATGGACCATGCGATATGGTACCTGCTCGCGCATCCAGATATCCTTTTTCCGAACGTCGCTTCAATCAAGGTGAAAACCTCCACTTTCATCCACTTTTTACGCGTCTCATGGAAACCCGCAGTAGAGGTTTGTCTTACCTTTATGTTCATACGTGAAATCATATCCGGTGTGATCTCCGCGCTGGAAAAAGACCCTTCCCTCACCTCTGAATCAGTTATCTGTAGAGACAAGTGAAGGTACAACACCCCTTTGACCATCGGCAAGGTACTGCTGCCCACAAGGATAACATGCAACCCGAGGGTCAGAGCCAGAGGAGCTCGGAACGAGCAAGGGAATGCGCAGAAAAGGCAGTGCAACAACTTACCCATAGTTGTCTCTCCCCGCCAGCGGGTGCTTCCCTACGAACCCAGAGACAGGGGCAGGCGCTATGCAAGGGATGGTCCCTCCTAGGGACCAGCCGCACCATGTGAGAGCGATGGACAGGCCAAGCTCACAGAATCACGAGTGGGACAATCGCACACCAGAAGAGCAGCTTGGAGAGAGGGGGTTACACAATATGGCGATAGGTGGGCAGCAGGAAAGGGGCAGGAGCAGCTCTCGGCTTCTTTCCTCGCAGATCGGTTCCGCGATCTCTACAGCAGATTCTGCGAGGAGTGGCGATTCACGGAAGAACGGTGCCGCCCACGGGGGTAGGAAGGGGAAGAGGGGTGGTATCGGCGCACCCTGATACACGCACGCCCTTTATATCGAAGAACTTCGTCTCTTACTTGTTTCTTTCGCTTTGTGACGAAGTGGCTTTCTGATCACTCGCTCTTCACCATACATGAATCAGCTGGAGAATTTTTTATATTTTTGTTTTGTTTGTTTTTTATTAAAAAAAAAAAAAAACAATTTTGAGCTTTATATATATATATATATATATATATATATCTTTTATATATATATTTTTTTTGGGGAAAATATCTGCAGCACCTACCGAAGGATAATCGTCCAGTCTATTGCTTTGCACTCACTACGTTGGAAATGGACCTCTCTAACGTCGATTCACCTCTTCATTGTCTTCAATGACCTTACGTGCAGTACGCAGAACGAGAGCTTCAACCCATATGAAGGAGGCAGCATGATCATACTTCCGTCGGGGAGATCCGCGTGGAGGAGAAGAGGGAAGGAGCAGGACCAGTTTGTACACATCCGATACACGAGCAGACTTATGGAGGCAGTTCCTCTGAGAAGAATGGTCTTGGAAGCACTTAAACAAGTGGTGGGGGACGGATCAGCAAATTGGCTGGAGGATGTGATCATCGGGTGGCGGTACGATGAGGCCCTGGGAGCCAAGATTTGCAAACGGGCGAAGGTATTCAGGAAGTTTAAGATGAACGAATGGGAGACGGGATACATTCCAGATTTTGCCAGTGAGGGGCAGGGAGACATGCGGAATTCTTCAGCACTGCTTCTATCAGGCTCCACCCTGAGGAAGGTACCATGCACGTCATCACTAATGACACTGGAGTAACGAACAACGGACAGTTGCAACTCATGCTCAACGCGGGTATTAATCACAATCCGCTGAGGGCGCTTGTTACATACTTCAATGAGTATGGGCAGAACCAAAGATCAACCAATGTAGGATGAGCATATATGCAGCGGAAGTCTGATAAACGGACTGACTCACATAGACTGACTCACACGGACTGACTCAAGAATCACTCCACACACATACAATCGTGAGATGGTGGGGTCTAGGCCAAGCATAGACGATGCCCAGACCTCGTACACGCATACACAGATGAGAGGTGGGAGGAGAGACGAAGGAGGTGGGGGAAGGTAGACAGCACCGAAGGTCACCGAGATAGAATCTGATAGGTCACCGATATGGTGGTCCAAAATGTCATCCAACAAGATCAAAATGTCGAGGACAATAGGTCACCAATGTCGGAGGTACAGAGTCCAAATGTAACCGGTGTCCGAATTGTGATGCAGCCGAGTATCAACCCCAACAATCTCCAAGTCTCCAATCCGGTAAGTACCACAGTCTCATACCAGCGAAGTCCAA